TTCAAGACTTTCATGGCATTCATCTTACACGACAGCTTTCAATGCCTTCCTTATTCATGTTATGCTTGTAGCACACCTGCGGGACAGAGAGGCGTTACTTCCCACTTTAGCAAGGGGGAGCAGAAACCAGAGGTGGTGTTAAACTTGTCAGTTATGTAATACTGCCTTCCATAAGCAGTCTGCAAAAGTTAACAGGTAATCCTGTGCAGGAAATTCTTGCATGGAGTCTGAACAGAGCCCATTAACTTGCACAAGGAGCCACATTTTCCCACCTCTTCCAGTTGCTACAAGTGGTGTGAACACAGCACAGCATGACTTACATGGTCTGTGATAGAAAAGAAACCAAAACAGATCATTAAATTTGGACTTCAGAAGCTGAACCACCTTTCACCTTTCTTATCATTCAACATTTTCACATGTCCTCTATGTCACCTGTATTCCAGTAGGGCTACCTCTCACCGCTCCTCCAGATCCTGGTCCCATGGTCCTATAAAAAGATGAAAGGGCTGCCATCTCACAGTCTTCTTTCTTGGCCAATTCTTCCATCTACCAAAGAATCCCAATGGTCACACTGCTATGTAAAGCCCTTAGACATGAGGAAAAAAGGCTTCTTTACTGAACAGCAGGTGAAATTTCTAAATGAGGATCAAGAACCACAGACCAAGATAAAACAGGACTTCAGGACTGAAATGACAACACTCTTCTACATGAACATTGCCAACTCTTGTGTTCAAAGAATATCAGCCGGCTTAAGTTAAAACCAAAAAACCACAAATCTTACTTTAAATCCTATTTTCTCGTTTTGCCATGTTTTATATCCACTCAGAGCTTAGGGGTTTTTTGTGGGATTTCCCTCTCTCCCCCAATCCACAGAAGTGCTACGAGTCACAAGAAATCAAGACTGTTAAAAACCTCTTTGTTCCCTATTCATTTTTTTTAAGTAAAACACCAAACATGACCATGAAGAGTAAAAAAAGTGGCAACATTAAAACATATTCAATCTATTCCTCTTCAGACAGGAAAGACAGAAGCAAGAATCCACAAAGTCACAAGATGTGAGAATATTTCTTTTTAATTTAAAACAGTAGCAACAATGTCATTCACAACCTTTCTCATCACAGACAAATATTCTCCAAAATGGAGAGTTAATATTCTCCAAAATTTTGTTAACAGTGCTTCAAGCAAACAACTCTGAATGGTGCAAGGTAAACCAGTACAGACACTTCCAGGATACAACAGAAAACCACCAAAAATGAACAGAAATCAGCAACTGATCTCAGTCATTAAGGTAGAAAGGGTGATGGGAAGAATAAAAAGTTATGTCCAGTTACATATTTTGCATAGTCTTTCAATGCATGAAAACAAAGAAGATAAAAATGGCTGCTGCCAGGATGGAGAACAAAAGGAATGAATTGGAGATGCTTCTAAAACAATCTAACAAGCTCTGGTTGCATCTGCATTCAGAATGTGTGCTACGACCCAGTGGAGGCTGCCCAAATGAAAGAAAAAAAAATGGACTGTTGCTGGTTTCTGTTAAACCAGAGTCAGAAGTAATGCCACTGAACCCACTAGAATTACAAGTGATAGCAGTGCAGAAACATCCAGACTTGGTTTTTAGCTACAGGTTTGAATAAATTGCTTTTTTATCTTAATTACATTTTAGCTAGGAAGATTAAATAGGAGTTAGAGTCTACACGTGTTCTGGAGACTGAAGATTAAGACTCAGAATGAGAGGTCTACTGCATCCAGCACACTGCTAGGAGTAAGAGGAGAAAAAGAAAACAAGGAAAAGCTCTTGAATTCTTCCTTCTTCCACTCTCCTAACCTAAAAGTATCATACAAAAAAGTAAAAATCATTCTGAGAAAGAAAAACATTATTATTTGCTGCCAAGTCCTGGCTTGGCATAATTCTCAAGTTAGATAGTCTCAAACAGCTCACAGTGATTTTTCTTCCTCCATCCTTTTTGTCAAGGAGCTCTCAGCACACCTGACCCCTATTTTAGCACCTAGAGACACAGAGTTTCCCCACCAGCCACTTCCCAGGTTGTGCACCAAGGCCTGGCCCAAATGAGCAAATGCATACAAATTTTAACAGGCAAAGCCTGGTAAATTAGTTATCAATTCAGTACAGTCTGTTTGAGTGTGGCTTCTGCATGAAGTTTAAAATGAACAAACAAAACAAAACTCTCCCCGGATTAGGCTAAAGAGTCAGGAGTTCACATCCTGCTCCTCCAGATTCCTGATGTTCATACATAACCTATCACAAAAATGACATGTTCTTAACTGGTCATTTGAAAAAGGAGGGAAGCCACCTTGGGAGATAATAATTCCTCAAACAGCTGAAGAACTTTTAACATATTTTCAAGTGCTATATTTTATAAAATCTGTAAAAGCCTTTCCTCTAAGCTGCTCCCTGCATTTCTGACCCACTGGTAGGCAGGCAGTATGCAAGAGTGATGAACTGAAAGGAATTTCAGAAGCTGAGCTGCTACAGTTCACCTATCACAGACAGCGAATGGCTCTCCGCTTTCATTTGCCGTTTCCAGTTTCTCACATGCCAGCTTTCTAAGTGTGCCTCCCATTAACCAGTTGCACAGCCACCCCAGTTTTAGGATGTACCAGACAAACGGTTTGCAAGCGTCCAAGCTCCATCCTTAATCCTACAAGACCAGCCATGTTTCCAATTTAGTAATAAACACGGGAACTACTCTGTTGGCCTTCATTTACCCAATGCTTCTAACAAAAAAGGCAGTGGCCACCAGATCTTGTTAGTTTATAAACAGTCCTTTAAGTTCATGAGGCAAGAGGGAAGCTGTTGTGTTGAGCTTCCTCAGAATGCAAGTGGGCATTGAAAAAAAAAAATTAAAAAATAGAAGCAAAGGGGGAGAAGCCTTTTGTCCTTTTCCTACTGCCAAAACGGAAGAGCACAAACAGATATATGGAAGGTTTATTCTTTCACTTTAAATAGATGATGCATCACTGCATAAATTGTGATCTCGTTTTCAAATCTGTCACTTTCTGGTGAAATACACAAATATTTAAAACCTGGAAGAAGCAAAAAAATTACTGGCAGCTTTTTTTTTTGTCCAGAACTGGTGGCTCAGTAACGACAAGGCAGCTGAATCTGAGAAGCCACTTATTAAAGTGCTAGGATGCCACTCTTCTGTGTCAATAAGAGCACTAAGTGCAGGAAGCTTTCCCAGCAATTAGGCACCATATAGACTCTACAGAATTATTGCACTAGAATTTCTCTCAATCTTTTAAGATCATAACTGATTTAAAAAAAAACCAACCCAGCAGTGGGGTTTGTCTCTGCATGAGGCTGTATGACTAGAGGAAAAACTATTTTTCCCCAAACACTGGAAAAAACAAAATGCCCTACTCATAACATGATTTTTTATTCAGATTCTCTTTTGTAGTGTGTAGCTGCCTCAATTTTGCCATTAACCTTGCAGGCACTGACTGCAGAGAAAATATAATTACACCTCCCTGCCTCTCTTGCACTCTGTAAGGAGAATTTTATGTCTTTATTTTATTTTTTACTGTTCCAATTTATTTTCAGGGCTCAGTAAGATTATATGAGGCAACTCCAGCAACAGTCTCTAAGCAGTGGCCAACACAGTGAACCCTTGAGTGTTTTTTGGAATCGTGAAAGGTTTGACACTCACCATCTACTTTTTCTAGAACTAGTGTTCTCAAACAGTTTAAAACCCCACATTCTTGCCTGTGCCTGTGACACAAACTGAAATAACACCACTACTCCCCTCCTCAAAAAAAAAAGGCAGGAAAGGCCAGCCCCTACCTTTATACATTCCAGAAATATAAAAACCCCTTCAGAACTTGTCTGTTGAAGAGATCAGATTATTGGTGTGTTTGCTAGTTTTAAGGAAGCTGAAACATTTCAAAAAGTGGGGCTTTTTTGTTGTTTGGTTTTGATGTTTGGGGATTTTTTTAAGGGAGGAAGGAGAGAGGGACAAATAAATAAATCAGCAATCTTACTAAGCCATTTCTCCCACTCATGGATGGAACTAAGTATTTAAGCAATCTTTGGCAGAAAGTAGAATTGCACTGTGAGTGCTTTGTCAAGCTGATTTCAGATGGAATGTGAGTGGTCAAGATGAAAATTTCCCTGAAATAAATACAATGGGACATTAACACCTCCTTTACCTCCTTCATAAGAAAATAAAATTTAAATAATACCCTTGGCTTTCCTAAGGGTATGCATTTAATTTTATAGTCAGAAAGTCTGCTTCCTTTAGCCATCTGTAATCCTGAATCTATTGGAAGAATTTGCAAAAGAAACATTCAAGAGAAGATGAAGAAACCCGTGTCCGCAAAACCAAAATCTACTATTTCTCTTTCTAAGAAAATGTTCAGGGCACTGGCAGGAGATTGCTTCCATCTCTGTTTGTTTCTAAAGTTTATGCATCAAAAAGGCAAACCAAAATACTGTAAAACTGAATTCCAACAGATATAACTCTAGTTACATCTGTTGGAATTTTCTCACTACACCAAAAATAATCTCTCAAATAAGACATTCTGCTCTGAAGTGCACTCACATACCCCCTCCAACTCTATACATGACATGGTTTCTCTAAGTGGTCTGGACTCTGGTTGAAAACACTGGTTCCCAGTTACCAAAGGTGCAAATATTTCTTTGTGGTCTTCAACAGATGCATGGACAGAACAGGCAGGAGCTGGGCTAAACCCCAGTTGATGGGCTATTTTTGTTCAACCCTGAAACTTCTGTTTTCTCCATATACTAGCTGCAAACTCCACCAGTAATCTGCATGGTCTTAAGGTGTCCTTTAACATGTACAAATTTAAAACAACGTACTATACATCACCTAATAGAAATTTGCCCTCTAACATTTAAGGCAGCATCAAATGACTTTTTAAATAAACTATAAATATCCCATGATGTTCTTTGCTTTTTGGCAGTTCAAGGGTTAAGGGTCTTCTGTGGATTTTAGATTTTCTTTTTTATTGTACGGGGTTTTTTTGGGCAGGTTAAAAAGGCTTATGGCTTTTTAAGGCCAAGTAAGAGATTTCAGGCCTAAATTGGTATCCTGTGGTAAAAATAAATGTATCCCAGGTCTTTGGGAGGTCGTTCTGAGGCACAGACTCTAAGGTCATTGTAGATCACCCATCTGAAAGGAAAACAAGATTGATTACATTATATGTGTATAAAAATCATCACAAATTTATCAGGGACTTCTCAGACCCAAACTTCTAAGAGCTTAAAATCTGAAATAAGGTACTGCCATAAGAACAAAAAATCAGAGAAACAGCCAAAGCTGGATTACTGGCACAGTCAGGAAGTGGGAAGGATGAGGGACATACAGAGGAATGTGTACTTGCAGTTCAAGTGCAGGAAAATCAGGGATTCCCGCTGCCAAATAATAGGAGCATATAAAAATCACAGCCAAGATCAGTATTGCAGCACTAGCAATACTAATATCAGCTCATAGTTCAATGGGTTTCTATTGATGAGGAATGAAAGGAAGCTGGGGGAAGCTCAGATAAATGAAGCCAGATACAGAACTGATGTCCCAAAATGAACAGATTTGGAACAGGAAGTACAGGAGAGCTGATGTTACATTTCAGCACAGACCTCGGCAGTATCAGAACTGACTTATCACATCTACAGTCTGTAACAATCTCCATTTCTTTGGTGGGAAATGTATACCTGGTAACAACATTCATGTTTGCCTGCCATGAATACACACCCTGCTCTGTACAGATGTACACTTCAAAGAAAACATTTGTTCATCCTTTTGTGTCTCTCCCAGTTCCACTCACCTTCCTTCTTTTTTGAGATGACAAACATAGTGGCCACTCATTGTGGATGTTCCCATGTGGCTGATGAACCCAAACAGCTCGTATTCTGTTTAAGAAATACAAATGGGACCATAAAACTTTTATTACTAAAATTACAATACGACTTGAGGGGCAGCTTTCTTTCTGACACTGGAGAAACAGCTAAGCACTCCTAACTCAGACTCTGCAACCCCAAACACAGTTTCTGTTAAGACTGCAGCATATTCTCGCTTTAACCAGCAGCCAGATTAACTGTCAAAAATCAAAACAATCCTAATAAACCCCACATAGATCTGTGCATATACAGCAGAGCTGTGATCACAGCCCCTACTAGGAAAGAAAACAGCAGATTCATTCACAGTTCAGAGAGAGCACCACAGAAAGTGCTAGGTATGGAGTTCACTCTGCACACAAATTAGCTATGTCTGTAAGCGTGATCACAGATCCCCTATAAATCAAACAAAAAACAGAAGTTTATATTTCAGCAGCCCATAAAAGAAAGGACAGGAAAGAAACCTCTTCCTTTTATGTTAAGAAAAATTTTGTGCTTAATGTCTCTGGAGAGCACAACATTGGTTCTTTCTCCCCACCCATTCATGCCATTCACCCAAATTACCACCAAAAGTAAAAGGGTACCTTCTTTCAGGATATTGCATAAGGACAAGGGTCTGGATTTTGGTGGAGAGGGCTTTCTGGAGCCATTTTACAGTATCATGTTGGTTATCACGATTTCAGGCACTCAGTAAATGGTCTCAGTCTATAAAGGCTAAGTACCACAAAACATTATTATTCCACATCTTTTTCTTTTCTTTTTTTTTAACCTAATGATAATCAATGTTTCCAATGTCTCCAAGAGACTTAAGATTGGTCTTTATAATGTTAAAAACAAAGAAATGAATGTTTTTGTATAACAACAGCAACCACAGAAATAAAAATCAAATTGGCTGTTAGTTTGGTTTTTTTTTCCTGTAAGACCATTGCAGTTAAGGTCAGAGGTACACGTTTAGAATATACTACAGTTGCTTGAACTGGTCACTCAAGACACTTCAAAAATCATCATGTGATATACTTATTTTAGAACCATCACTGAACTTTGGTAATCTAATGCTTTTACACTTTACCTACTTTACAACTTTGCCATACATTAACCCCATCTTGTGGTTCATTTAGTAGTAGTACAACTGAGGATCTCAAAGGAAAACAAAAACAATACAAAAAGGAAAATAGCTAAGCAGTACATGCAGGATACTAACTATACCTGCTGTATTCAGATTAAGGAACTTGGTTGAAAGGATTATCAAATCTCCCATCAGACCACAAGAGGACAGAAACTCAGGTGGTCTGTAACAGCAACATTATCTTTAGGATGCTCAGCCTCTGAGAATTTGAAGAGTCTAGTTTGTCTTATTATCCTATAGCAACAAAACAAAAAATAAAGCTAGGCCAACAGAGACTTATATGATGTGGCAACAAGAAACTTCTACTCAGGTTATTCAGTGAAGCCAGGGGAAGAGTTTTCTAAGCAAACACAGCCCACAGAATCTAGCAGCCCCACAGAGTTGGACTCAGCCCTAGAAGCAAGATTGAAGTAAATTGTCTGGATCACATCCAAAAAACCCCACAATGACTACTTTCAAAACAGAAAGGAGCTCTATGAATGGTGTAGGTTTGACATGACAAAATGATACCCGGTTCTACATTGAAGGAGAACTTACTTCCAGACCCATCTTTGATCCTGGGTCCCTCTGACCCCGTCTCTGCAATATTGGCATTAGCATTGTTGTCCATATCCATCATGTCCAAAGCAGGCTCACTTTCTTCCTCGTGTTCAGGGTGGCTGAAGATCCATTCCAGTCCACGCTCCAAATTATTGTTCTGTGAATCAAACAAGCAAAAGAACAGCATTTAATAAATTCTCTAGCATCATGCTACTGCTTATTGTTCTTTGAACAGAGTAAGATTCATGTTCAACAGCATTTACAACTTGTAAGATACACACTCTACCTTCACGAAAGCACTATACAACAGGCACTCTGCAGAGCTTGCTAGATCGAAAACAAATTCTCCCACAATTAATCCCCATGACCCCCAGGTTCTGATCTTGAAGATGCACAGTCTTTAGGCATCCAGGTTGTTTCTCAGAAGATGGTAAAAGCAGCTGAGTCTGTCTTGTTTTCCTCCACACTTTAACATTCACGTGAAACACAAACCACCTTCCCCACTCTAACCCAGTCAAGTCAGGCATCCCATGCTTTGGCAGCATAGTTCTACATGCATCATCCACAAACTGGATTTTTATACACATTTCAAAGGCATCTGAGCATGCACATGTACAAAGTACTTAACATGAAATGAAACCCAAACTACCAATAACTCATGGAACTCACTGTTGCCTTCAGTGCTTGGATTGCTAGATTCCTTTGGAAGCCCATTGAAATTATAATTGCAATCATCTCTTCAGGAGGTTGGTTATCTAGCCCAACAGCCCCAAATGCAGCTGCTCCATTGGAAGCTACTTCTCCATATGCAGGTATGACCAATGGCTCAGCAAAGTCTGGAACAAACAGACATTCATCAGTTTGTTCTTTTGCCCCACTGAACTGGAAAAATCAACAAACAACAAATAGGACCTCAAAAGCATTCCTGGACCAGTTGGGATTCAGGTGCCTGGAAAGCCTTAAAAACAACAAAATGAACATGCACAGCACAAAATATCTAGGCGGACAAACTCATACCGAGCAGTATGGAACAACTTGGCACATCACAGAAGTGAAACAGCTACAGGAAAGTAGCAAAGATAAGTACGGAAGCAATGATGGCACCAAAGTCAACACCCAGCTGATATACATATAGCTGTAAAATGAATTGATTCCATAGCTGAACTACATCAGTTAAGCCCAAGTGAAACTCATTCCCCATTTACATAGCAGCACAAAAACCCACGGCAAAGTGTGAACTCAACCAAATCTGGAGTTTCCTGGCAAGGAAGTGCTCAGATATACTCAGTGTTGAATCATGAGTCCAGACTTTGCATAGATGAAACACAGGAAGTGGAAAACATCTAGCAGCCCTGTCCATCACCAGACAGCCCAAGTTCTAAGTACATCATGAATGCTCTAACCTGAGCTAGAGGAGGCTGATATGGAAGAAAAGCATCTGGACCACAGGATTCTTTGTACTTACACTTAATCACAAGTCAACTTTCCCCTTAGCAGCATGGACCTAAGCAAAGTGCAGAAAGCAGAGAGCTGGCCCACATGATCAGTGAGGACAGGAGAGTACTTCTGGTGTAGCTTAGGTTTGTTGTCTTCTTCTAAGCAGAGGATGGGATGCCACACTATGGACAAGATCTGCATATCCCAGCTTAGGAAAATCCACTCACACCTCCAGGTTTCCTGGGGTGGGGAAGGTGGCCGTTTGTTTCTGTGTCACACATTATAACATTTCTACTGACTGACAAAATATACAATCAAGAGTTGAGTTTAACTTATACCTTTCAATCACTAACCTGATTCCTCCATGTGTGCAATGATCCAGTTGAAAGCAACTTCAGCACCCAGGTTGCCTGTATAGTACACAGCTTTCCGACATGCTTCCAAAGGAAAACCCATCTCTGCCAGTTGCATAACTGAACACTCGTCAATATCTAGAGCTAAAAGAAAGAACTTTCTAAAATATAAAAGTCTAATTTTATCCACTGTATAGTATTTCTTATCATTATTCATGGTGCCACATACTACAACACATATTGTTTGGATTTGTTTTAGTACTATAGTAAGCCCACACCTACTAGAAAACAGCCTTGTACAAAGCATTTGTTATGGACATTTGTTATAGTATTTATCACAGACTTACTGGTAATCTTTTGTCACCATAATATACATAAGATCCTTAAACATTTATGAATTCCTACAGGACTTTATTTACTAAAAGCACTCACCACTGGATTTCAAGGGGTGAAGAAATTAGGTGCTGTGCTTAGCTAAAGATGGCAGCCAAAAGCAATCACCTTTCTTAAAGGCAGGATCTTGCAGGTCAGAGAAACAACAGCTGCTGAATCTAGCAGTCTCCAGTTGTACTTCATCTCTGAATGACAGGGCTTGACAGCTTCAGCTGAGATCAGAGTCCAGAGGGAGCCAGGATTAGGCAGCTGTGACCCTGAGAACTGCAAGATCCCTCTGATGAGCAGCAGATAGAGGAGCAGCTCATATTCTGGCTATGCTGATGTTACTACAGACTCTTAAAGAATCCTGCACACATGGAAGTAAACACTGAACATGTGCAAAAATCAGCTGTTATTTAGAAGCATGCAGGGCAATACTTCCCACATCTCTATGCAGATAGAGAAGCCATTAGCGGAGCAAAAGCATGAACATTTTTTAAGCAGCTGAAGTACCAGTCTCAGAAAAATGAGATACGTACACTCCATGACATTGTTCATCATCCGACCTGAAAATTAACAAAGAAGAAACAAACAAACAAACAAAAAGAAAAAAAAAAACAATCAGGAAAAAAATTTAAGATGAAAGCAAAATAGATTCATACGGGAAAAACAAATCCACATTTGACCTCACACAGGCAAGGCATGTTCATCCCACATCCCTGAGTTTTTTGCCATGAGTTAAACCAGGGATGTTTCTGCCAAGTAATTTCCCTAACTAACCTCAGAGCAAAGTGTCACTGGTACTATAAACCAGTAGGAAATACAGCTCATGGCTTATCTAAACCAATTTTAAGCAAGGATCTGTTTTGTTAAAAATTAGGTACCATCACCCATGCATTTACGCTAAATCTAGGTTAGTCCACTGAGCAAGAGGATAAAAAAGAGTAAGCCTTTGTAAGGATCCTACAGATAAGGGACAAAATTAAAAACTCAAGAGAACTCAATTTTTCCATAGCCTTTGCTCTGATGCACAATTTCAGGTACTAACTTCCTTTCACATACAAATAGCTTGATGTATGTATGTACCACCACTAGTATAAATATCCAAGCAAAAGGGGCAATCATATCATGGGAATAGTTGCATTACTGGTTTCCTATTAAATACCAAAGCACCCAAACTTAAGACATCTGGAGGAAATTGCAGCAACCTGGGTCTAAGGTCACACTATAAAACCAAGATTTTACTTGCTATAAACCATTTAATCCTCCAGAGAAACCCAGGGAATGAGGAAGGGGGATATTCTAATATTCTTGTTTCTGAACTTTAGCATAATAGAAACAGTATTTACAAAAAAAAGCAGCATAGCATGTTAATTACACTCTT